AACTAAGTACTATGAAAAGACCCTCGAGCGTCTATCTACCGCTAACTCTCAACCCCTTCAAATACAATATAAACTTTCTAATGCTTTAATTTGTCATCAAAATGTTGAATTCAAAACTCCTTTTGTCCTAGTACGTGATATGCAACAAAAGGTGATCTTAGGGACACCTTTTCTAAATCTTCTAAAACCTTTTACCGTCACCGACCAAGGAATTAACACCGTTGTGTTAGGAAACAATGTTGAATTCTCATTTCTCCAAAAACCAAAAGTTCGAAACCTAAATGTTTTACGACGTTCTTCTATAAAATATATACACCATATAATTCGTTGTAAAACTAATCAAATATCTTATTTGCATGATGAGATGCATTTTCAGCGAATCTTACAACAGCTTTCTCAACCTCTTTTGCAAAAACGAATAAACTCTTTAAAAGAGCACATTCAAAGCTCTATTTGTGCTGATACACCCAATGCTTTTTGGCATAAAAAACAACATCAGGTAGATCTTCCTTACGAAAAAGATTTCACAGAAAATCTCATTCCCACCAAGGCTAGGCCTATCCAAATGAATTCAGACCTTGAAAAACATTGTCGACAAGAAATTAAAGAATTGCTCAAAAAGGGCCTTATCAGATCTAGCAAATCCCCTTGGAGTTGTTATGCTTTCTATGTCATTAATAATGCAGAAAAGGAACGTGGCGTTCCTCGTCTTGTTATAAACTACAAACCGTTGAATAAGGCTCTGAAGTGGATTAGGTATCCTATCCCCAACCAAAAGGATCTACTCCAGAAACTTTCACAGTCCCTAATATTTTCTAAATTTGACATGAAATCTGGATTTTGGCAAATCCAAATCAAAGAAACAGACCGCTATAAAACTGCTTTTACCGTTCCCTTTGGCCAATATGAATGGAACGTCATGCCGTTTGGTTTAAAAAATGCTCCCTCAGTATTTCAAAGAATTATGAATCAAATCTACTCTCCTTATTTTGATTTCATAATAGTTTATATTGATGATGTATTGGTTTTTTCTTCGTCCATTGACCAACATTTCA